TCTTTGCCCTTTTTGGGAAAGGGACCTTTTGCAAAAAGTTTTAAAAACTTCCTAAATTTTTAAATTTTCCCCAGTTCCAACTTTTCCTTTCCTTTGCCATCCTATTTTAAACCACCCCTCCCCCCAAAAAACCCCAAGCAAAAAACCCCCAAAACCCCAATGCCCCGGATTTTGCTTCAAAAATAAAACCCAAAATAAAATTTCCTTCTAAAATCCCCCCCCTTCAATTTTTCCAAATCCCTTTTCCAAAAAACCCAAAGTTTTCCAACCCCTTCACGGTTGGGATGGTTTTTTCTTCGGTTTGAAAAGCCCCCCCTTTTTTCCCCCCAAAATACATACGAGGGTCATTAGGGCCCCAAACAGTTCTATTTTTGTTTAAGACCAGAGGAACATTTCTCCAAAAAGGGAGATTTTTGTCCCCATGGGGCAGTTGAAAAACCCGTATTTTGCTTTTTTTTTGGCCTTTTTGGGCAGTGACTTCTTCCTTGCTGAGGGGCCTTTTCAGGTTATGTGGAAAACTGGGAATCTTTTTAAATTTGGGTTTTTGAAAATTTTTGTACCTTTTTCCCTCCGCTTTTTCAATTTCCGTTGCTTTTTTCCCGGGTTTGATTTGCATTTTTTCGCCCCAAAGTAGTTCATTTTAGGAGACAAAATTTGGGGTTCCCCCTTCCTGAGGGGTTTTAGGGACGGTGGTCCCCCCCATGGTGTTTTTTACTTGCTTTACTTTTGGGGTTGTACAGATGAACGGGTCCTTAAAGGGGGGTTGGGGAAAATTGCCCCCCAAGCAGGGGAACCAGACTTGTGGGGGTCTCCCAATTTTTTTTTCTGGGGGTCTTGGGGCTTTTCTTTTGATTTTCCCTGTGTAAAAGAAAAAAGGGGAAACTGGTTTTAAAGGGTGGGCCCTTTAAAATTTACACCCCAACAGTAAAAACCCCCAAAATTAAATTTAAAAAATTTTTCAATTCCCTTTATCGGAAGTTTCAAAAGGGCCCAGGACATCTTTTTCCAAAAATTTTCCAAGCTTTTTAAAAGGGCCCAAAATCAACTTAGTGTAGGGTTAAAACTTCTGCCCCATGGAATTTGAACAGTAAATTTAAAAGTGAATAATCTGTCTTTTAAAAAAGGGTTTAAAAAATTTACTTGTTCATCCCCAAAGAAATTTGTCCTAACCGTTGCCAAAGCTTAGTTTTTTAAACCAAAAAATTTTTTGGTGGTTAAAAAACGAGTTTAATGACCCAATCAAGTGTATGTAAATTTCCGACTTCACTGTAAGATCAAAAGTAAAGTATAAAAAATTTAAAATTTCCTGATATTAAGCAAAAAGGGGTTTTTTTTTTTTTCCCCCCAAGGGGCCCCCCCCCCCCCCAAAAAAAAAATTTGGTTTTGGGTTTTCCCAAAAAAAAATTAAAAAAATTTTTTTTTTTGGGGGCCCTTTTTTTCCCCAAAAAAAAGGGGTTTTTGGGGGGGGGAAAAAAGGGGAAAAAACTTTTTTCTTTAAAAAAAAAAAAAAATTTAAAAAAAAAATTTTTTTCCCCCCCCCCCCCCAAAAAAACCCACCCAAAAAAAAAACACACACCAAAACACCCCAACCCCAAAAACCCCCCCCCCCAAAAACACACACACCCACACAAAAAAAGAGGGAAAAAATTTTTTTTTTTTTAATTTTTTTTTTTTTAAAAACACCCCCCCCCAACCTTTGGTTTTTTTTTGGGGGGGAAAAAAAAAGGGGGGGGGTTTTTTTTCCCCCATCTGGATCTTTTGGGTTTTAAAAAAAATTTTTTAAAATTTTCCCCCGGGGGGGGAAAAGAAAAACCCCCCCCGGGGCCCCCCAAAGGGAAAAAAACCCCCCCCGGGGGGGCCCCCTTAACGGGAAGGGGAAAAACCCCCCCAAAAACCCTTTTTTCCCCCCCCCCCAAAACCCCCCCCCCCCTTTCCCCCCCCCCCCGGGGCCCCCCCCGGGGGAAAACCAAAAAAATTTTTTAAAAAAAAAGGGAAAAAAAAAAGGGGGGGGGGGCCGGGGCCCCCCCAAAAAAAAAAACCCCCCCCCCCCAAAAAAAATTGGGGAAGGGACCCCAAAACCCCCCTTTTTAACCGGGCCCCCAACCCCCCCGGCCCCGGGGGGGTTTTTTCCCCCCCCACCTTCCCCAAAACCCCCCGGGGCCCCCCCCCCCCAAAAACCCCCGGGAAAAGCCCAAAAAGGGCCCCCGGGGGGGAAAAACCCCCCGGGGCCCCCCCGGGCGGGAAAGCAAACCCAAAAACCCCCCCCGGGGGGGGGGCCCCCCCCCAAAAACAGGGAAAGGGACCCTTTTTTGGGGGGGCCCCGGGGAAAACCCCCCAAACCCGGGGGCCCCCCCCCCTTTAAACCCCAAACCCCCGGGTTTTTTCCCCGGGGGGCCCCCGGGGGGCCCCCCCCCCCCCCCCCCCCCCCCCCCCCCCCCTTTTCCCCCCGGGGGGGGGCCCCCCCCCCCCCGGGGCCCGAAATTTTAAAAAAACCCCCCCCCCCTTTTCCCCCTTTTGGATTTTCCCAAAACCCGGGAAACCCCCGGGGGCCCCCAAAAAAAAAAAATTTTTTTCCCCCAAAAAAAAAATTTTTTTCCCCAAAAAAAAAAAACCCTTTAACCCCCTTTTAAAACCCCAAAAAAAAAAAAAAATATTTTTTGGGGAAACCAAAAAAGGGCCCCCTAATTTTTTTCCCCCTTTAAAAAATTTTTTGGGTTTAAAAATTTTTTTGGCCGGGAAAAAACCCCCCAAAAATTTTTTTTCCTTTTTTAAAATGGTTTTTTCCCAAAGGGGGGGGTTGCCGGGGGGATTTCCCAAAAAACCCCCGGGGGGGTTTTTTTGGGGGGGGGGGTTTTTTTTTTTTTTTGGGGTTTTTTTTTTTTTTTAAAAAAAAAGGGAAAAAAAAATTTTTTGGGGGGGGGGTTTTTTTTTTTTAAAAAGGGGGGGTTTTTCAAAAAAAATTTTGTGCCCTTTTTTTTTTTTAAAAAAAAAAAGGGCCCCCCCCTTTTTTTAAAATTAAATTTTTTTTTTTTTTTTTAAAACCCCCCTTTTTTAAAAAGGGGAAGGGGGTTAAAATTTTTTTTTAAAGGGGAAAAATTTTTTTTTTTTAAAAAAAAGGGGGGCCCCCCAAAAAAACCCTTCTTAAAGGGGGTTTTTTTGGGAAAAAAATTTTTAATTTTAAAATTTTTCCCCCGGTTTTTTTTTTTCCAAAAAAAAAAACCCGGGGAAAAGGGGAAAAACCCCCCCGGGGTTTTTTTGGGGGGGGCAATTTTTTAAAAAAAAAAAAAAAAAAATTTAAAAAAATTAAAAAAAATTTTTAAAATTTTAAAAAAATTCCCGGTTTTTTTTTGGGGGGGGGGGAAAAAAAAAGGGGTTTTTTTTTAAAACCCCCCCAAAAAACCCCCCCCCCCTTTTTTTTAAAAAAAAAAAAAAAAAAAAAAAAAAAACCAAAAAAAAGGGGGGGGTTGCTACTTTGATTAGTGGTTATTAGCCCAGTTATAGATCATTTATAGTCAGCAATGGGGGACTGATTGCTTCCTACAAGAGCACAAAACGTGTACATTTCAAGACATCTTTGAAAAGCGAGTCAGGTAAAGAGCTTTTTTTTTTTTTGTCTTAAAGGGGCAGTGTTGTATTTTGAGACAGGCTTCAATAAGCTAAGTAGCCAATAGGCAGAGGGTAGCATCATTTGTTGGATTCTCTGTAATAATGGTGTGGGAATAATAATGCATTATATTTTGTAAAGTGGTTTCTTGCATCAAACAACACAACATTTTCAGTCGCCTCCTTGTCTGAAGGACCAGTGGATAAACAGGTTAATGTCAAACCCTACATGTTTTTTTTCAAAAGTCTCATGGAATGTGGGCCTACATTGAACACCACCCATTGGCTGCTACTGTAGGCTGAATGATAGAACAGCTATTTCCATGCGTAAATGTTATGGGATGCATTTTCTCCATGGTTTTTGATGGTGGGCCACTCTGGTAGGTCTACATTATGATCAAATAGCCACAGTAGCCTACTTGGCCACTGTCTGAAACTGTAACTTAAAGCGGGTACAGCCTCAGTGTTCACAGTAAACGCAGCGCTGGAAGTTGCACAGAATTTTCACAACGTTCAAGTTTGCGCTCATCAAATCAAATCAAATCAAATGGTATTGGTCACATGCGCCGAATACAACAGGTGCAGACATTACAGTGAAATGCTTACTTACAGCCCTTAACCAACAGTGCATTTATTTTCAACAAAAAAAATAAAAATAAAACAACAACAAAAAAGTAAAAAAGTAAAATAAAATAACAGTAGGGAGGCTATATATACAGGGGGGTACATTGGACCTGAAATTTGAGGGAACATTGGTTATAACATAGAATATACTTCTGGGTTAGTTAAAGAAGCTTCTGTTGTAACATAGAATAGCCTACAATAATGTGTGTGTAAGTGTGTGAAAGATCTATGAGCTACGGGAGTACCAGTAGATACATACATACACTGTAACACTGGTTGAGGCCCAAAATACCATATTTACTACCATAATACTGGATTATTTTGTTGTTATTCTGTCTCTCACTGTTCAAATAAACCTACCATTAAAATTATAGACTGATCATGTCTTTGTCAGTGGGCAAACGTACAAAATCAGCAGGGGATCAAACATTTTTTTCCCTCACTGTATATATTGTTCTATAGGGGATGCGTGTGTTGGTGGATGTATATATTCATGTATATATTGTTCTATAGGGGATGGGTGTGTTGGTGGATGTATATATTCATGTATATATTGTTCTATAGGGGATGGGTGTGTTGGTGGATGTATATATTCATGTATATATATTGTTCTATAGGGGATGCGTGTGTTGGTGGATGTATATATTCATGTATATATTGTTCTATAGGGGATGCGTGTGTTGGTGGATGTATATATTCATGTATATATTGTTCTATAGGGGATGGGTGTGTTGGTGGATGTATATATTCATGTATTTATTGTTCTATAGGGGATGCGTGTGTTGGTGGATGCGCGGGACAAGCTGGGGATTCCGTGGCAGAACTCTGAAAATGAGAAGCACGGCATGTTTGTGATGTCATTCGAGGGGCGTGGTGGAGTGGCGGTGGAACCAATAGAATTCCAGCTTTATGGTCTGGCGCTGGACGCTCTGTGGAGGGATTCTGGGATACAGGAGGCCTACGCACGACGCAGTGAGTTTCAACTGGTGAGTCCTAGAGAGATACAGACACACACACACACACACACAGAGATACACACAGACAGACACACACACACACACACACACACATGACAGCCGTGTCGGAGATAGAAAATCTGACAAAGAGACACACACTCAAATACACTCTTAGAAAAAAGGGTTCCAAAATGGTTCTTCGGCTGTCTCCATAGGATAACTATTTTTGGTTCCAAGTAGAACTCTTTTGGGTTCCAGGTAGAACCCTCTGTGGAAAGGGTTCTACATGGAACCCAAAAGGGTTCTTCAAGGGGTTCTCCTATGGGGACAGCTGAAGAATCCTTGCAGATCCTAGACAGCACCGTTGTCTCTGAGAGTGTTTCCAAGCCTCATCTCAGGTTGAACTCTTTTGAACGTTGAACACAGCTCTAACTTATCTAGAGACTGTGACATCATAATAACAACACACTGTCTCTCTCTCTGACACAAACACACCACAGGGGGTGGACAGTGTAGTGTGTGTAGTGTGTGTAGAGTCTGTACAGTGTGTAGTGTGTGTGTAGAGTGTGTAGTGTGTGTAGTGTGTGTGTAGGTTTGTATGTTCCCAGGTGTCTAGTCTAATCATTAATTTATCACTGTCTGACATTAAAGAATTCACTCATGTCTTACCGCTGTGAGCTAGGTTATAGGACTACATCATGATGGAGCAGTGACTGTCTGATGAGGGCTGTCTTACCGCTGTGAGCGAGGTTATAGGAGTACATCATGATGGAGCAGTGACTTTCTGATGAGGGCTGTCTTACCGCTGTGAGCTAGGTTATAGGACTACATCACGATGGAGCAGTGACTGTCTGATGAGGGCTGTCTTACCGCTGTGAGCTAGGTTATAGGACTACATCATGATGGAGCAGTGACTGTCTGATGAGGAACGGGCTACCGTCTTCAGAACTGGGAAAATAATTGCTTTATTTGCCTCATATAATAACAGAAAAATAAATAATATTCTTTGTTCGATCTCTCATAAAGCTGTGATTGAGAATAGCCTATCCTTAGGCTATAGACTTTCATTCTTGATATTTTTTGAAAGCCACAACAACTTCAGGACAACACATTTGTAGGCTAGAATATTTGGTAAATAAAGCTACTGTTCATAACCTTAACTAGTCTGAAACCTTTTATGACAGGCCAGTAGGAGGAATGAGGATGGGCTTATTGGTCATTTGGTTTTAGACCTTTGCATGGAGGGATTGGCCCGGCATGGATCATATCTTTCTTAATAAGCTGTAACTTGATTAAACTGTTCTACAGGCTATTGATATAGTTGGTTCTGTCTATTCAAATGACTTTTTGAGATGGAACTACGTTACGTTCATTGTTTGGTCGGGAGAAAGCCATGCATAAAACGATGAAGCTTAGCCTTCAGTCGTATTCATAGCCTATCGAATGGAGACAGAAGGGAATATAGGTTACGTTTTTAAAAACAGCAAGACAGTTAAGGAGTGTCCGTTATATATATATATATTATTTTAAAGGCTATAGCCCTAATACCCATGCATCACACAGAGAGAGAGAGAGAGAGAGAGAGAGAGAGACAGAGAGAGAGAGGGAGTGAGAGAGAGTGAGAGACAGAGTGAGAGAGAGTGAGACAGAGACAGACAATATTTTGTGCTGCTTTGGTGTAATTCTCTGTTTGGCCTACATTAACATTAACATTTTAGTCATTTAGCAGATGCTCTTAACCAGAGCGACTTACAGTTAGTGAGTGCATACATTTTTCATACTGGCCCCCTGTGGGAAACGAACCCACAACCCTGGCGTTGCAAGCGCCATGCTCTACCAACTGAGCTACAGGGGACCTACATTTCTCTCTGTCCTGCTGTGTGCTGTCCTGCTGTGTACTGTCCTGCTGTGTGCTGTCCTGCTGTCCTGCTGTGTACTGTCCTACTGTGTACTGTCCTGCTGTGTACTGTCCTGCTGTCCTGCTGTGTACTGTCCTGCTGTGTACTGTCCTGCTGTGTACTGTCCTGCTGTGTACTGTCCTGCTGTGTACTGTCCTGCTGTCCTGTTGTGTACTGTCCTGCTGTGTACTGTCCTGCTGTGTACTGTCCTGCTGTGTACTGTCCTGCTGTGTACTGTCCTGTTGTGTACTGTCCTGCTGTGTACTGTCCTGCTGTGTACTGTCCTGTGTGTACTGTCCTGCGTGTACTGTCCTGGTTGTGTACTGTCCTGCTGTGTACTGTCCTGCGTGTAGTATGTCCTGCTGGGGGTACTGTCTGTGGGGTACTGTCCTGTTGGTACTGTCCTGGTGTGTACTGCTGCTGTGTACTTCCTGCTAGATGGGTTAGATGGGGTGAGTGGGGTTAGATGGGGTGAGATGGGGTTAGATGGTGGTTGATGGGGTGAGATGGGTGAGATGGGTTGATGGGGTGAGATGGGGTGAGATGGGGTGAGATGGGGTGAGATGGGGGGAGATGGGGTGGATGGGGTGAGATGGGTGAGATGGGGTAGATGGGGTGAGATGGGGTTAGATGGGGTGAGATGGGGTGCGCTGGGGTGAGTGGGGTTAGATGGGGTGCGTGGGGTGAGATGGGGTGCGTTTGGGGGTGCTGGGGTGCGATGGGTGCGATGGGTGAGATGGGGTAGAGGGTGAGCATGGGGTTGATGGGGTGAGATGGGGTTAGATGGGGTGAGATGGGGTGAGATGGGGTGAGATGGGGGAGGAAGTGTTTTGAGAGGGACTTAGAACGCTACGGATTCAGGCCATATCCCAACTAGTCTCTTAAACCCGACCCCAGGGCAACAGCAGTGACTAGGGTCTGGAACCATGACGGGCTCTCGTGGTACTGCCATAAGGGAAACAAAACATTCACTGGACAACTAAAGACATTCTGACAGACACCTCTCCCAACAAATCACAGAGCAGACATGCCAGAACATCGCCATAAAAAAAAACAACGTTTGCAGGCAAAAACCTTTGCAGTGGTTTTAGTGAGGGTAGTTGATGCAAACTAGCCACTTACGAAATGCCCTCATTAAAAATAACCTCCATGATCTCCGTCTTGCTAGATACTATTTTGTTGTTGTATTCAACCCGGATGTCTAATAATAATAATAATAATATGCCATTTAGCAGACGCTTTTATCCAAAGCGACTTACAGTCATGCGTGCATACATTATTTTTTTTTTGTATTTTTTTTTGTGTATGGGTGGTCTCGGGGATCGAACCCACTACCTTGGCGTTACAAGCGCCGTGCTCTACCAGCTGAGCTACAGAGGACCACAGTCTAGAGACTATATCAACTCATTTGAGAGTGTTTTGTTGTTGCTATAACATCGAACCACTGGAACACTACAGCTCTCCTCTGACATAGAGGACAAATCCCACACACATAGATGGCATTGCTCTTGGAATAATACTAATACTAATAATACTAATAACAATAATAACAGTAATAATAGTAATAATAATACTACTAATAATAGTACTACTAATAATACTACTAACAATAATAATAATAATAATAATAATAATAATAATACTGCAGTGTCAGATGTTTACCATGTTTGGAACACCTGGAACACATGCATTAGCAAACGGAAGTCACACCTATCTTGCTCCATATCATGTGAGCCACTCTCAGGAAGTTTAAAGGTCTCTGGAGCGAGAAAGATAGTGAGAGAGAGAGAGAGAGAGAGAGAGAGAGAGAGAGAGAGGCTTTAGAGATTGGCCTTGGTTAGCAAACGTGGCTAATCTTGTCATTAGTCACAGTGGATAATGCTAGCATGCTAACGTGATACACAGAAGACAACTTGGTTCCTGTTCAGAGAAACAGAACAAGAAAGAGTGAATCCTCAGTCAGGGTTCTCTTCTCCCATCTCTTTCTATCTTTGTTTATGGAACTCTTTCTTTTTCTCCCCCCCCTCTCTCTCTCTCTCTCTCTCTGAGAGGTTTTCCGGGCACCACAGCCCTGCTTTCCCAGGAAACTCTGGATCCCAGCCAGAGAAAGAGAGTTGGGGGAGGGGAGAGGGATTGAGAAATAGGGAGACTGGGAGAAACGGAGAGAAGGGAGGGGTAGAGAGATAGAAAACAGAAGCCACTGACACAGCCCCCGCTACACACACAGACACACACACACACACACACACACAGACACACACAGACACACACACACACACACAGACACATACAGACACACACAGACACTCACAGACACACACACAGACACACACAGACACACACACAGACACACACACAGACAGACAGACAGACACACACACACACACACACACACAGACACACACAGACACACACACACACAGACACACACACAGACACAGACAGACAGACAGACAGACAGACAGACAGACAGACACACAGACACACACACACAACACACAGACAGACACACACAGACACACACACACAGACACAGACACACACACACACACAGACACAGACACAGACACAGACAGACAGACAGACACACACACACACACACACACAGACACAAACAGACACACACACACACACAGACACACACAGACACAGACACAGACAGACAGACAGACAGACACACAGACACACACACAGACAGACACACACAGACACACACAGACACAGACACACACACACACAGACACTGCCTATGGCTAGCTGAAACTTCAAGTTGGAGAATGGCACATGTGTAAGAGATAGAGTTTGGGGATCCAATCCGATCGTGCTGTCGGCTATGGGCCATTTAAAGGTTGGGGATCCAATCCGATGGTGCTGTCGGCGATGGGCCATTTAAAGGTTGGGGATCCAATCCGATGGTGCTGTCGGCGATGGGCCATTTAAAGGTAATTCATGACTGAGCTGACATATGCAGTGTTTACTGCGAACGCGGGAACCTCACCTTCAAAAGGTGCCGATAAAGAATGATCAGATTGAATCACGGCTTACTCTATCTCAAGTTACATGTTGGTCAAGTTGTCCTGTGTGTCCTGTGTATTTTGTTGTGTGTGTCGTGTGTGTTTTGTCCTGTGTGTCGTGTTTGTTTTGTCCTGTGTGTTTTGTTGTGTGTGTTGTGTGTGTATTTTGTTGTGTGTGTCGTGTGTGATTTATTGTGTGTGTCGTGTGTGTGTTTTGTCCTGTGTGTCGTGTGTGTGTTTTGTTGTGTGTGTCGTGTGTGATTTGTCCTGTGTGTTGTGTGTGTGTTTTGTCCTGTGTGTCGTGTGTGTGTTTTGTTGTGTGTGTCGTGTGTGTGTTTTGTCCTGTGTGTTTTGTCCTGTGTGTCGTGTGTGTTTTGTCCTGTGTATCGTGTGTGTTTTGTCCTGTGTGTTGTGTGTGTGTTTTGTTGTGTGTGTCGTGTGTGTTTTGTCCTGTGTGTCGTGTGTGTTTTGTTGTGTGTGTCGTGTGTGTGTTTTGTCCTGTGTGTCGTGTGTGTGTTTTGTTGTGTGTGTCGTGTGTGTGTTTTGTTGTGTGTGTCGTGTGTGTTTTGTCCTGTGTGTCGTGTGTGTGTTTTGTCCTGTGTGTTGTGTGTGTGTTTTGTTGTGTGTGTCGTGTGTGTTTTGTTGTGTGTGTCGTGTGTGTTTTGTTGTGTGTGTCGTGTGTGTGTTTTGTCCTGTGTGTCGTG